ATTATAGAATAAAGAAATATATATATATATAATATAATATAAGAATAAAGAAATATAGAATAAAAAATATGGAATCAGAAATGTAGAATTAAATATATAGAATCCAAGATGTATAAGTAAAAATATAGAAGCAAAAAGATATAGAACTAAAAATATAGAACAAAAAATACAGAATCAGAAATGTGGAATTAAAAATATTGAACCCAAAATGTAAAATTAAGAATATAGAATCAAAAAAATAGAATAAAAAATGTGGAATTAGAAATGTAGAATTTAAAATATCGAACCAAAAATATAAAGTAAAATACTATGGCAATGGAATGATACGTACAGAAGGAAAAATATAAAATAGGATACTATGACAATAAAATGTTACATATAGTATCGAAAGTGCAGAATGGTATGACGATGTAATGGCACGTGTGGAATGGTTTTACAAGAACAGTTTAATCCCCACGGAGTGCTTCTACTAGGTCCTTTCTTGCCTATTGTTTTTGGTCTGCAACCTGGAAATAGCAGGACACACGGATCGCCGGAGATGTTTTAATTCGAAATCCTTTAATTAGAAAGGCGCCGTCCTCGGGATCCTCGGATGTGCTTACTCTTTAATTGCTTTTCTCCGATCGTTCCCGGCACACCTCGTGCGCGCTCTCGCCGCGCCGATCCCGAAAGACGCTTCAATAAAATCGCTCTTAATTGGGATTCGCGAGCCGCTTCAGATGAACTAAATCCGCGAGAAACTTTTTTCCCTTCTCGCCCAGTTTAATTGGTTGTTTGGGCCGCTCCAGCTACAGGTGGAGTGCGCGTATTTTATCAATTGGAACGTAAACAGCCGACAATGTATTTTTATCCTTCCCTCGATTTTCCTACGGGAAACTTGGGCGGGAAATATCGAAGCTAACTGCCTCGAAAAAGGTGCATCGTAACATTGATACTAAATCTACCCATGATCGAATGACCCGATTCTCATTTTACAATTATAAAAGTTATAAAAACACTTTCATGGGAACGGATCTAAATCATTTGGATAATGTAAATTTTATGAGGCAGTGCACGCGATTAATTTTATCGATCGTTACGTTTGATATTAATATTCTATACGTGACTAGTTAAATAGTTAATAGTTAAATCTTGACTACGAATTTTTATCACTTGACACTAAACCTACCGAGTACTAACGATGACACATAAGTGAATTAAAATCATAGCATAATTGACATTTTTGAAAATGTTGACTTTTGTCTTGAAATATGATCTGCGAACGCCGAAGTGTTGAAAAGACAAGTGGAATAAATTGTGGAGTTACTATAAATTAATTTAACCCGAAATTATATCAACAATAAATTTGGTCGGTGAACGATACACGTGCTGATAAACAGTAATACAGTATTTATTTATACATCTTCCTATTTTGATTATAATGAGCGATTCGATTAAGAAATTGATTCCATCGTTTCCTACGAAAGATACTTCCTAATATCAAGAATCTCAAAATAAAACACATGGAACGATAGGTGACACGGTTATATTGTTATCCCTTTAATCCCACGGTATGACGTATCATAAAGTTACAAATCTGATAGCGACTAAACACGTGTCGGAACGAATGAATCATAAAATGGTCTCATCCCGCGCGGACGTCGCTATGCATTTATGGAGTAAAACGGCGATTGGAAGATAACGATTAAATTAAAAAAAAAAAAGAACATCTATTCTAAGCCTTTGTTGCCTATCGATTTGCAAGCTAGAAACACAATGGAGGTGCACCGCTCGCGGATCGGCCGATGAATCATGCAGCTGCACGCTACGCCGATGCACGCCGGCGTGCTAGCATCGAATCTCGCGGGTCACCGTGCATGTTGCATTTAAATAGAATTTTTGATAGGGCGTTACACCAATCGGCAGCCGGTAACGGGAATTAAACCAGCGTCGCGTGACAGCCGCGCGCAGAAACGACTAATCAAAATCACCTGAAAATTGATAATTTTCGCTAATGAGTGTGAATCAGCGGTATCTCGTTAATCAACGCGTATTGGCAATTCGGCCGGACAAACAGCGGCGCACACCCGCTGGAAAAGCTGCGGCAAACACCGCGGACGTAGGCCGCATCTGATCCTCCAACGGCGCGGCAGCAGGTTAATTAAAAAATTGAAAAAGC